TTTCGCCACTGCACCATTCATTCGCCACAGCTACTTGATTTTGAATAGCAACTAATTTATCGTAGTATCTGTCTTGTAAGAACTTCATTTTGCAATTACGTTCTCACTTCCATTCTCGAAGAAAGTTTGCGAAGTCGTTGTTTGACAAAATGTATGAAAGGTGAAATATATCACGAGTTGGCACTGCGCACCATCGCGAGCATCAAATGGGCGTTCAGCTACGTAACCTGGTTAGTACCCCTTTCGCCCCTAGAAAGAGAAAGCGAATTTCCTGGGAATATTCTTCCAACCAATAATGGGCCTTGGAGTAGGCAAATTCTATTAATCTTTCAGGTTATAATAGCAAAGTTGAGTGGCTTAGTGGATTTGAATCGTTTCGACGTCAGCGCTGTTGAAAGGCAATCAGCAGAAGTTCGTTTTCTGGACAAGTATTTTTCCACTGATGACAGCATCAGAGCAGATCACGTGGACGATATAGAAAGACTGAAAAAGGTAACCCAATAAAATTAGATTTTTGATGTCTTTCTAGTGATGTTAGTTCCAGGTTCATGGTATAGCCGATGTAGCCTCGAAAAGCTGTGGATTAAATGTTGTATCGCTCTCAATTTGCTACAATGGCAATATTGTCAAAAAGCGAGTGCCTCTAGCAATAACAGTGCAGAAGTTGACAGAAATGGTTAGTACCGTTTAAGTTACGTAACTTTAGAAGAAAGTGAGAAGTAATCTTTCAGGTTATAATAGCAAAGTTGAGTGGCTTAGTGGATTTGAATCGTTTCGACGTCAGCGCTGTTGAAAGGCAATCAGCAGAAGTTCGTTTTCTGGACAAGTATTTTTCCACTGATGACAGCATCAGAGCAGATCACGTGGACGATATAGAAAGACTGAAAAAGGTAACCCAATAAAATTAGATTTTTGATGTCTTTCTAGTGACGTTAGTTCCAGGTTCATGGTATAGCCGATGTAGCCTCGAAAAGCTGTGGATTAAATGTTGTATCGCTCTCAATTTGCTACAATGGCAATATTGTCAAAAAGCGAGTGCCTCTAGCAATAACAGTGCAGAAGTTGACAGAAATGGTTAGTACCGTTTAAGTTACGTAACTTTAGAAGAAAGTGAGAAGTAATCTTTCAGGTTGGGCGTGTATTTTCAGTAGGCTTATTGAATGTAAGCCTGGAGCTTGACAAAGGTACCCATAAAATTAAACTGGAAAATCCTATGCGCACGCTCGATTTCTATTCGCCTGAACCAGATGACATCCTTACCTTGGTAGCTGTCTGAATCCTTTGTTACATCTTCTATTATGGTTTTTTCCTTGAAATCCATGTAATAACCTTTTTTACCAATATCGCAATAGAGAATGGCGAATTTTACTGACTTTCGAACGAAATGGTGTTTTGCTCTGAATAAAATCCACGAGGCCTTCTCTGTAAAATACCGAAACATTTACGGGAAAGTTCCCTGCGAAACATTATCTGTGATCAACATTTTTCATATATTTGTGGTCTTCATATGTATAAGTGGCTAATGAGCTCAGTATTGGTTTTCTTTTTTACGTTGTAAATACTTTCAGTTAAGTGGTTGATCTCTGCAGAGTCACGTTATCTTCTGTTAGATATTTGTTTTCTTTTGTCATATATTTTTCACGGGTTCAAGTTCATCTACTTCATTTATTGAGCATTATTAATGTTTTTGCGCTATTCTGTTGTGAACATCCTCGCCCTATAAATTTCAAGAACATGTTCTTGACCTTGTATTTGCCACTGAATTGAGTGGTGCTTTCAGTTGAAGCTTGGGTCTTGCTATTAGTAGTTTCGTGAACCCTGCGTGCATATTCAGATGCCAGCACGAATCTGAATCAAATGAAGTGAGTGGCGCATAGCGAGAAGAGATTCATGAATATCCACTCAAAGCAGTAACCTCACATCAAATTGGTGGGTGACAGCCCTTCGCAATGGTAGCGAGAAAAGGGCGTGTCTAGACGAGTTTTTTAAACGCAGCCAACCATCGCGATGGGGTTGGATCATATCTATCACCCTGTTGGCTATCTTGCTCGCTACGCCGTAATCCATGTCGCGTGCTAGGGGTGAGTTTGGGGTAGGATAAGGCCACATGATGCCTGCATTGGGCGTTCCCCTCTCGCATATTCCAAGTTCAGTCAGCGATGCTTTGGTGTTGATACATCAGCTGATATACTGTACCTTCAGTTGCCTTTTCTGTGTAAAGTCTGTGGCTAGTTTTCGCTTCGATTTTTTTTCGAATATTAATTCACGATGGGCGGAAGTGGTGTAGTGGCAAGTGGCACGCTTACCACGCGAGCGGTCCGGGGATCAAATCCTGGGTCGTGAGTCGCCCGGGCCAACCAAGCCTTCCATCCCTCCGGGGTCGGTTAATTGGTACCAGACTTGTCTGGGAGGATAAAAACACTGACTTGTACATCGGCTGGCCCCGCAAGTCATTGTATAGGCCACATCGCATTCAAACGCCACTACGAATGTACAAATGGAAGTAGAATGCGTGCCGCATCCCAAAAAGGGATTGATCAACGGCAAATGCTTTATCCTTTATTTATTTACTCTTTGGTTGAAGTAAATTGCTTTTATGTTGCAGATATTCATTATTGATGCCCTCTTAATGTCACAAAGTGCTTATCTGGAAATTCCTAATAAAAATTGTTTGAACTGTTTCTGTATTGTTTGCATGGTGTTTACCAAAATGACTACTTGTAGTTTACATTATTGTTGGCTCTCACAGATAAATAATCGTTTCCTTCAGGAATTACGCTTACACATGAGGTAGCTGAAATTCCTCAGAGAATCATTGCAGCTTGCTCACATTCATGAAATATTAGATCAAAGCACAATGTGCGACAATGATTTGGATAATCCGACACCGAAACAAATATACCGACATATAATTCGATGTGGTTGGTATTCACAAATTTTATATGCTAACTTCATTATAGGTTATTTTAGATAAGAATTTATTGAAGTGGCTTACAGGTATTCGCCTCAGAGCAAAGAATCAAACCGTATGCTCCGGTATTATTATGATGCACCGTCTCCTACAACGAGATATAGGCTCTATCGTGTGTAACTATGTGAGTGACTATTTCTTTTATGCTTTGTCACACAATTCGCAAGTTGAAAGCATCTCAATGGAAATGGGATAAAATACTTTTTTGCTCCGATTCAGTTGACAACATTGAGTAACTTGCGACATCGTTAGCATCCTCATTGATTACTCCTTATTTCTCTTTCCAATGTTTTCGCCAATAACGACTTATCAGTATGGTGAATTGATTC